AGGAATTGGGGGAAAAAAGCACATTTTGCATGCAGAATTTGCATAGTTGCTAGACCCAAGTTAATGTAATTCCAGAGTAACCCTAGTGAATCCAGTGACACATGGGTACCTGAAGGCACAATGCAGCCCTGTGTATCAAACTCAAAACTATTAGGACACAAAGAAACAATTAGAGTAACACAGGAAATGAGGCTGCATCCCAAAGGCCCAAGGGTTAGTTATTGCTTTTGAGGAAAATTAATGAGGATGTTTTTTCCCCTGCTTTTTCTTTTGGTGTCATGTTTACCTTGTGAATATTAAAGTATGACTAGCACTGAGAGACTCAGTGACATTTAACATAGATTAATGAAGTGCCAGGCATAGTCTAGGGGGCCAAGTGGAGGATGCTATTTGTATATTTTCAATGCATTTCACCTGAAACCCCAGCTGAGAAGTAAATTTCATGGACTTTAGGTTTACGGGGGAAACACAGCAGAAAGTGCCTTTGCTGAATTGCTGGTTAATAAGGACACTTGAACAGAATTTATTGTGCCCATTTGTCAGCTAATTCATTATGGTGCACATCATGCTGTCAGAATGCTTCACTGTTTTTTGGAATAGCTATTTTTTTTTCTTGCTGAGCAACAGTTTTGCATCACTGCATCGCTAATTACCATGCAAAATATTTGATATACTATTAGATGAAAGTAAACACATCTTGCACTGGAAGTTGCATCAGAATCTAATAAATGCATTTGATTCTCACTGGGCTTTTCAGAGAGAGGTACTTGAGAGAGCAGATCATCTGGAATGAAACTGCCATCTGGAAATGTTGTGTGAAGATGGATTGTAATGGAAGCTTAAAGGGACACTTGATTTTTTTTTAAATATGCTTGAAGGAAATAAATTTGCATGGGTAATATAGGAATAAAACTGATTTTAAGGAAGATGTAGAAAAATGAGATGTACTAAAGTATGCAATCTATCTGTAGTCCTAGCCTCTCAAACACCATCATATCTAAATAGGTATTTTAAGTGTTCCACAATTATGCTCTGCACTCTGTGTATGTGGAAAGTAAATACACTGAAGTGACTTTTGCCTATTATGCCTCAATTAGGATTAGCAGCTTTAAAAAGTTTGATTTAGAAACACCAAAGGACCAAGTATTGCAAAAATCATGGGCAGTGATGTTACTGAGGATCTATAGCCTGACAGTAATTTGTGTGTTTTGGTATAAGAAATTAATGAAAGAAAATTAAAGTGTCACAGCCAAGCTATTTCTGTGTACAGCAAAAATAGAGACTAGGTATATCCATCCAGGTGTTGTGAGCTAGATTGTTTAGAATGACACAATGATAGAGAGGGTTTTATGAAATGAAAATTACTGGGCTTTTTACATATCTGATTTATGTGCATGCATAAATCTCTGGAACCCTTCATCTTCACTTTTCAGCTTCTTGCAAAGAAGTTAAGCAAGTGTGAATGTCTTGTAGTCTACCCATCCGAGAAGACTTCTGTTAGCTCCCATCAGTTAACATACAGATTGACATGGAAACATGTAGTTGGATTCCACTATATTCTCCTACAGCCCTTATCACCATAATATCTTCCAAAGGTAGTTTAAAATTACATGACTAACATGCATCATGTGTGGCTCATTTTCTCTCATCTTCCTGTCATATTGAATGAAATAGTTTGAATGTTTGTAAAGATTGCCCATTAGCCAGTTTCAGGAAGAAGATAGGATCTATCTCTTTATCTAGCTCATTGTTTTGGAGCTACGTGCGAAATGTCCTGACTTCACTTAAAGTCTTAATCTAAATTGTATCTTTAGAAATTTTTTACAAAGAAAGTAAATATCCTAAATTCCGAGACATCAAAGCCTAAGGCCTTTTAACCAAATTGCTAAGAAAAAAAAGTATTTACAGTGATATGGAAGTCTCCCCAAGAATAATTTAAAAATGCTCAACAAAGGTAATTTCTGTTGAGTAAGATCCGAGCCCAAATTTGGGAGTTATGATGAATTGAGTAGGAGGAGCCCAATGACGGCAGCTCACTCAATAAAAACCTGTAACTTACTGTCCCAATTTGGAGGTGACTTCACTTGCAGAACAACGAAGGAAGAATCGCAAGTATAAGTTCAGATTAGATTGATCGCCTAATCAAGCCTCTCCGTGAACACGAATCTCTTAGTTCACGCTGAAGCCGCGGAGCGCCCGAAAGGGACTGAAGGAAGGGGACGTAGTCCTATCACTGGTGAGCCCAGCTCATTGAATCGTATTGCTGAGGCCAGCCTATTGAACCGTACTACTGAGGCCAACCCATTAAATCGTACTACTGAGGAATGAAACCATATTTTGGTATTTGGCTTCTCGGAATTCTAGGATTGTAAGTATATTATGAAAAATAACAGTATTGATTCAAATTTAACTTTTAGTTGTAATTGTAGTTGTTTTTGTAACACTAATTCTTATAGCATTGTTTGGGAAGGAAGTGCATTTGAAGCATTGTTTCTGATATATGTAATTATTGTGTTTTTAATGTTTGTGGTGTTTCTTAAAGCTAAGCAGTGTTATATACGTAGCAAAGAGTTTTAAAATAAAATTGTGTTGTATAAATTAAGTGTGTAATCATTGTGAAATCGTGCAATCAGCTAACTACTCCCCCAGCCAGTGCATCAAAACGAATCAGTAAACTGTGTGGGATTTTCTCTATTCCATAACCCACTAGAGACACTTCCCTCCAAAGAGAGAAGTGTGTGTATTGATTTGTTAGGGCTTTGGTTGGGATGGGGTTTTTTTAATATATGTGTGTTGCCATTTATGTTAGAGGAGGCAGGTGAAAGGAGCACTTTTTGAACTTGTTGTGGCAGGTGGTGATGTTTGTAGCAATCTTGAATCTGTGCAAGTTTGTTCTACAGGTTCAGATTGGTCTACCATGCACCCCAGATACTGCACCCACCCAGGCGCCGGGGGTCCATGCACCCCAGACACTGCACCCACCCTGGCATCGGGGGTCCCCACCCTGTAGTGGCCCCTAATGAGGCCTCCTTCTTCCCCAATAGCCTCAGCCCAATCCACCAGATTACAAACCAAAATCAAAATGCAAGCCCCTGGGCTATAGCATAATGCAAGTAGCTCAGGGTGTGCTCTCTCCCTTTAAATGAATCACCCTTCCCCCAGCACAACATGCCTTGTAGGCCAGGGTCTGGTGAGCTCCTGAAATCCCTTAACCTTGCCAGAAGCAGGAGCTGGGCCATCAAGCCTCTTCACTTAGGCTCCATCTAGAAAAGCTTCTTCCCCCTTAGCTACTGACAGAGAACTGCCTCCCTGCTCCCAGCCCTGGGGTTTATATATGTGCCAGGCCCTGCCTCTTCTGGTCAGCTGGCCGCTGGCAGGTGGGGGCCAACTCTCTCATTCTTGCTGTCCTGGCAACCAGCAGCTGGGGGAGTTCCCGACTGACTGCTAGGGCTCTCTCCCTGGCAGTTTCAGCCCTTAAAGGAGCAAGACGCCTTAGTGCCCTGCAACAAACATATTAAATACTGGCAAGAGTCCCTAGAGCCTTTCTCATTTGTTTTCAGTATAAGGTATAAATAACTCATTAAAAAAAAAATGCATCATTTGGCATTTTAAAAGCCTGTATCAAGGCTTTCCCCCTTTGTCTGTTCTTTGAAGATTACCATACTTTCCTTTCTCTCTCCTCACAGGAGACTTTTTTCCTACTCATTCTCATAAACCATTTACAAAGCCTTCCTGTTTCTGCTGTATCTTTTTTGGAGACTGGGAGACCAGAAACAGGCATAGAGTTTCATCAGTTCAGAGAATAACATTATTGTACCTTCCAAATCTTGTACATCCTAACATTATGTTTAGTTTTTAACAGATGCTGTACACTGAAGCTCTGCACTGAGCAGAGATTTGCATTGAACTGCCTAGGTCTGTTTCCTTAATCAGGGCCATCCATAGGGAGGGACGAATTGGGTTGACTGCCCCAGACCCTGCACTTTGGCAGGCCCAGCAGAGCCAGGCAGAGCGGCCGCAGCCCCTCCTGCAGGGCCCACCTAGTGCTGGTGACTCTGTGCTGCTGCTGCCGCCACCAGCTTCACCCTGCCCCCCCCCAGCTTCTTCGCGTCTGGGCCCCGCACAGGCTGATTTGTCTTGGGTCCCACACACTGCTAGGGTCATCTCTGTTAATGGTTACAGTTAATTTAAAACCAACCAATTCTAAATTACCTGCAAGCAGTGCTGGTTCTTCCAATGTACACTAACTTTCAATTTATAAACATTAAAGTGCAATTCTCTTAACCATTAGTAAGTTCTGCCTGAATACTAGAAGCAGAGAGAATTTATTCACTCACATCACTTTAAGAAAAATACACTGAAAACTGAATTATAAATACACCTTTGACCCAACCAAAATGAAACCTACCACCTGCTGTGCTATAGCCAGTTACTCTTATTCATACGGCTATAGAAAGTCTTTGATTCAAAAAATAAATATGAATTTTCAGTATTAAATTAACTAATAGAAATAATTCAGGCAACTATTTTACCATAACAGAAGGATCTGACAAAGAATAAAAATTAAAAAAATATAATATCTGAGTTCAGGGAAAACATTCCTCAGGTAACAGGTAATTCTGGACCCATTCCCTAATTATTGGTTATTCACTCCCTCTCTCCATTGGATGATCACACATCTTTAGGTAACCCTTCTTCTGGGCACCAGTTGGCAGCAACAAGGGCCAGGTTCAATTTTGGGGTACTAAATATATTTTATCTTGGCTTGAGCCCCCACCCAGACCACCTAGGAACCACTAAATGAATTATTAGGGTGTCCCACATAAACAACACCCCCCCCTTGCAAGCAGTGTAAATACAAAAGACAGATTTATTACAGAAAACAGGAAAATACCAAATGCAATTCAAAACATTACTAACGCCAAGACATAGTTGTTTCGGTTGCGCTGCACCAGGGAAAGCTGCTAGACAGCATGGGTCCTTCTGCGGTGCTAGGGGCCTCTTGTTGCTCCTGCAGAGAGGCTGTATGTGTATGGGGGGATGACTGTGGCTCCAAACAGCAGGCACGCACCCCAAAACTTCTGGGCTGGATTATGTGGCCTAACGAAACAAAACTGCAGGAAAAATTCCAAAAGGAGCCAGGTTGATTAATGGCTATAGCTAGCCCAACCACACAGCTTAGCTGGAACAAAGGACCATCAAAAGAAACAAGGGGAAAGATCAGGCCTACCCTCTAGGTCTGGGCTGCAGAAAGTTTGGGTCACAGCTCCATGAGGAGCAGAAAGTTGCAAAACTCAACCCCAGCCCAAAACTGGCAGGGTTAGAGACTCCTAGTTTTCAACCCTGTTTAAACTGCCAGGCCTAACTCCTGGTCAGCAAGGAACCAATACTCTTT